TTCAGTGATCGATAAAATTGTGCTCGCAAAATAATATTATATTAGCAGCGCGGAAGCAATAATATCGTCACTGCTACTGCAGTACCTACCACGACATTTCCAACGTTTAAAAATGTATGCGAGGCGTATTATAATCATATTTTTCAATAAATTACTTGTATGCGCCCGACAAAGGGGGGGTCAATCGGGCAGATCAGACTTGATAGGAAACATTTAAAAAAGTTTAAAGTTAATAATTATCCTAATTTTTTTAACTTGGTGAAATTAAAAGTTACATGGAAACTTAAAATTAAGTTATTAACTTAAATTAAATTATTTTTTTTTAATATATCAAGTATACTATAGCATAGTAAGTATGATATGGTTTACAATTTCTAAAAGTAAATGGTTTTACGATAGGTATGTATCATCTATAATAATTTTATTATACATAATATTAAATTACAAATAAATTAACTAGGATTTGATTAAAAACAACTCGTTATTTATTAAGTTCATATCAATAAAAATCAGTAAAGTTAAAAATTAAGTTACATAATGAAAATTAAATTTGAAAATGTTAAAATTAACTTCGGTAACTTCGGTAACTATTTAGCTTGTTTATGCCCAAGATAGTTTATATATGGTTTATGAGAGCTAGCATGGCGAAGTTCTTCACGGAACAGCCAACAGCGTACAGCAGCCACACAATTTTGAGATCCCGTGGCCTATCAACCACCCGTCACCCGTACACGTTACCACTCGCACACACGATGGTTACCAGTCGGGTAGGTCGTTCGAGTAGGTACAACGTAGTCAGCGCCCAGCCGGGTGTCAGTTACATTGCCACCTTAAATGAACGACCTTTTTCAACGACCACTCTGGTCAAACGGGAAGCGCGTCGCGCTACCCGTCATACGCCGCACGCGCGCAGGTACGATCGGTGTTAATACCGAGTTCTACGCGGAACAAGGGCCGAGCACCCTGTCCGGTTTTTAGCCAACACCGAGTCGTTACTCACGCAAGCGCGTAGACACTAAAACGTCCACACAATCACTTACGGAATTTGTGCTGATTTAAAACCAGCTCGCGCCCCGCACGTTAATACTGGCCTATCCGAATCGGAGTAGGTAGGTGTTATCGTCCGGCGAACGCGCGACACTTTCCGTAGGTACACATATCCGGCTACATTTAACATTTACGTTCAGCGTGCTTCGACGCATAGCAGGCGTTTTGACTTCGTGTCGGATAATATCTCCACCCACGACCCACCTCTCGTCACCCATCATACCATATTTTCGGTAGTACGGACGGAGAAAAATTATGCCATCATCGCGCACGTAGTTCGGTAATTCGTAACGACGAAAAACCAACTACGAATTTTTCCGTCAACACACCACCTATCGGCACCCACTCTTAAATCCCAAACCTACACCACCCCACCACCCACCACACTCACCTCACCGGTGACACGTGTGGTCAACATCAACGGCTTATGGGGCAGCCGCAGGTGTAGGGACAAAGGTAACAGAGCCACGGGTGTTCACCTGCAAAGGTGATGGGGGCGCAAGCACACCAACTTCGCACACCCCCGCATTATAGGTCATTCTGTATACGTAAAGCATCAGGCGAGCACCGAGACAACCGACAGGGACAGTTTGGTCATGGCGGTCAACACCGACCACCAATCAGTCTCTGTCGCGGTTCAGAACCAGTTGCCCCGCTCGACCGATTGCAATACGTCTAATAACGTCACACGAACACGCCCGGACAAAATTCCGACCCACCGAGGTCGAACACGAATTTCCGTCAGGCTTCGTAACGGCGCTATTAGATCCACAGACCCAAATCGTACGTAAACCCGACCATAGCCTGTAAATACGGCAAACCCCTCCACGGACCAACAAACACGGTCCGGATGGCAGACGGACACATGCAACAAACAGAGCAGTACCACATGGATAACCAACGTCACGTCGCAGCCATACCAACGACAACGAGGCACCAAAGCACGAGGTCAACAACCAACACCACCTATCAGAGAGGGACTAGGAGGGTGTCAGCAAGGCAAGCTTACTTCAAGTCACATGGCAAGGGGTACCGCGAGCTGAACCACTTATCCACCGACAACAGTACGCTGTGGCACCCCGTATGGTGGTTTGGGGGGGGGAGTATGACGCGGCCCGCGTTAGTAGCAAGTACAATGTACAAGCACTATAGCGACCAGTCTATCTTATCTCCAACCACCACCACGGGATGCAAGCAGCGCGACCGGGTTGACTCTCCCACCGAGCCGGTAACGGCAAGGCGGGACGGGGGGACTGTGTCGCGTAAGACGTACAACGGTCGGCGGAAAAGGCGATTCGAGATCCACCATCGGACCGTCGGACCGATAACATATCGTCCGACGTTAAACTCATCTGCCCGAGCGGCACGTCATGTATTGTTATATTTTGGTCGCAATATTATAATACATAATTTGTGACATTCTTAAAGTGTTTGTGTTGTGTTTATTTCATCACCTCAATCCTAACCAAACACTTCGACCGGACCACGATCAACCTTGAAGCAATCATCGTGTCCGCGTCACACTTACCCACCTTTTTTACATTGATATTTAAAGAACAACATAAATATAAGCCCTTATATAAAATGCTTCTTTGACCAAATACTTTATTAAGATTTGGTACTAGTATATTAATATTTTGTTTATATCTAGTGTTGTGATCATGGTCTAATGTAGGAATTAAGTTTTTTTGTTTATATACATCAACTAGAACTGATAAGTTATAGTTAAATTTAAAATTGTTTACATTAAATTCCTCGTTAAATTCATTATAAATCAATTCAGTGTTAGTATTCATTGGTAAATTTAGGAAGAATTTTATAATAGGTACAATTTATTGTAACAATAAGTTTTGTTAAAATATATTTAGAAGCTCCACCCCAAAGTGATATGCCATAAGAATAATTAATAAATTGATTGTACGAGTGATAAAAAAATAATTCTTTTATAGTATTTATTAAATACATATCTAGCATCTTTGAAGAAATAGAAGAATTTACGTAGCATGTTATTTAAGTAATTTATATGACTTTCCCATTTAAATCTATAATCAATAAGTATCCCTAATTATTTTATTTCCTGTACTTTTTCTAGTATAATACATTTTGGATCACAAACAGTATTTATAGTTTTATTACAATTTAATGAATGTACTATTAGGTTATTTTGTACTAATATATTTGATGGTTGCTGTTCAAAACAAATATATTTTGATTTCATAAAATTTAATTTTAATTTATTTTTACAGAACCAAGCATAAACAGTATTTAATATTTTATTTGCTTCATTATATAGTGTATCGATAGTTGGTTCCGATAGCAGAATAGCTGTGTCATCGGCAAAGCTTAATAATTCTGTACTATGATTTATTTTCAGTGTTAGTAGATCATTTATAAATATGATAAATAATAAGGGACCAAGTACAGTGCCTTGAGGTACACCACAAGTTACATTTAGATCTTCACTAGAATATTCATAACATTTAACTCTTTGAGTTCTACCACTAAGAAAAGATTTAAATAGATTATTTGACACTCCACGTATACCCAAATTTTCTAATTTTTTTAGTAGCAGTTCATGGTTAACACAATCGAAAGCTTTTTGTACATCCAAAAATATACCCATAACTTTATTACTTTTATCTAAGTTACTTCTAACAAAATTATCAACTTTATACAGAGTATCATTAGTTGATGGGCCAGATCTAAAACCAAATTGTGATTTTGAAAAAAAAGATTTTTTTTCTAAGAAGTCAATTACTCTAAATTTAATACATTTCTCAAGGACTTTTGATAAGGTTAAAGATAATGAGATTGGTCGGTAATTACTGCATAATAATTTATCACCCGATTTGAAAAAAGGTATCACAACACATTTTTTAAAAGTTTTAGGGTAGATACCAGTTGTTAAAGATTTATTGAAGATAATTGATAAGGGAAAAGAAATAGAATATGAAACCTTTTTGAGTATATAATTCGTTAGATCATTTTCAAAATAGGTATGAATTATTATTTTTAATTTTATTAAGGAGTTTACTAATTTCGGCTTTATCATATTCATATCAATTTATTCGGCATTATTATTATTCTCACTAGGAAATAATTTATATGGATTTAGTTTCTCAACTTCTAAATTTTTTCCTACATTGACAAAAAAATCATTAAGTTCATTACATATCTCAGTTGTTTGGTTTATACTGTTTATAGTAATACCACTTTTATTCCTTATCATGTTGATATTATTCTTAATCTGGTTCGGTTTTCCAATGACCTCATTTATTATATTCCAAACTAGTTTAGAATCAGACCGAGCATGTTTTAATTTATTTTGATAAAATATTTGTTTAGATTGTCGTACAATTTTATTTAGTATATTTCTATATAATTTATAGTATTGCTTTAATTTAATATCAAAACGCCTGGATCTTATTTTAGCAGACAATTTTTCCTTATTTCTAATAGAGATAACAATTCCAGTATTAATCCATTCTTTTAATTTGCGCGTTTTATTTGATTTGTAAATCTTATATTTAGAAATAGATGAGTATTTTATAAATTCATTTATTTTAGTATTGAAAACTTCAACCATATTATCTACATTGTCACAGTTCAAAAGAGCATACCAATCTTCAGTTTGAATTAATAAGTTTAAATGATTAAGGTCTATGTTATTTGAAAATAATTTATTATGATTGTGACTTTTGTTATTATTAATATTTGATAAGGTCAAAATTGTAGCATAGTGATCTGTAATATCGCACCTTAAAATATATGAATTAATTTTATCTGAAGCTATGTTATTAATAAAAATATGATCAATGCAAGTTTTCGAGTGATTAGTCACTCTAGTGAAATTATTTATACAAGGTATAAATCCATTTCTCGCCATAATATTTAAATAATTTAATAGTATTTATTAATATTTGTTTTAATATAGAATAACCAAGAATGCATACATGAGAAGAAAATGGCTAAAAGTTTTAGGAATTGATCGTTGTTATGATTGGCAACGTATATGTAGTGATCACTTTCTAGAAGAAAACTATAAGCCAGGAAAAAAGAGATTTTTATTTTCAAATGCTATCCCCCAACCTTATGATCAAAATGGTTTTCCTTCTAAGTAATACTTCTGGATCTCTATAATTTGATTTTTCATTTTCAATAATATTTTTATTTTTATATAGGTATGCTACTCAAAGTAATGATGAAATTAGAAATAATGTAATTTCACCAATTGAACAAAATATGCAGGTCAGTAAATAAGTATTAATATTTTTAATAAACATTGTCAATACAGTGTGATATCTTTATCTTTTTTATGATTTTCCATGCTTTCCTTATTGAATATGTATGGCCTTGGTCTTCAACGTCCTGGTTTCTCTTCTTTAGTAATTTAGTGCTTCTAATTATACATCAGTTTTATTCTTGTCCACTTATATTTATAAAATAGTTAGTAGTTTGACCACCAATGTGTGTACTCTTTTTGTAAAACTCTTTAGCTACTACTAATGTATTGTTAGGAAATATCTACTGTAATTAATCGGGGATCTGTGTGATTCATTTAAGCATTTAGCTAGAGTGTCAAGGTCTTTTGTGGAAAGAAAACCAATCCTACTATTTTTCTGAATTTCCAACGAAGACACAGTAACTGCATCTTATTGTACAGAACGTCTTTGGTTGAATTATGCCACTATAAGTTTTGTTGGTTATCCAGAACAATAGTAAACAAGTTTGAAAAAAAAAAAAATTGTAAAATTGAGTTACGACAGTTTTCGTTGCGGCTGTCCATGTATAGATAATACAATTCTTCCCTTTCATTACACGTGGCAGTATGAATTTCCATTTTAAAATAGCAACTGAACATTTTTGATATACTTTAATGTGTACATAAAATAAACCAATATTTCATAAAATATAAAATCAAAAAAAATGGTCAACTATTAACGCCCAAATAAAGTTGTGTTTATATTTACTGTAAGGAAATAATCATCTTGTAGGCTGTTCATTGTATTATAATATACGAATAAATATGTACACACAACTTGTTTTGCATCATATACTGTACAGCCAACTAAGTACTGAGAATCATTGATTGTAAATATCAATAATTGTTCTTAACTTATACCTGAACAATATTGCAATGCTTGGGAAAGATTAGCTAGATCATCAAGTGTTCTATAGTAGTAACTAGTATACTGATTCTATGTTATTCACAACCAGTACTCTGTAGTTCATTATTTTGGTTACAAAGACATAGAAGGATCCATACCCCCTAGTTTCTACAAAAAATAGTCTTTAGACTATCCTAAATATATAGACTCTATAAAAACTAGACTATTGAATGTTATGTTACTAAAATATGTATTTAGCTCATATTATATTTTAATTTGTACTTTATGATTGGCAACCTGGCTGTTTCTAATATTAATATGAATTATGTGTTTATATTTTAAAGGACCATACTTTAGGATCAGGATTACGATGTTCCGTTAAAAACTGCTTTAACAGGTTTTCAAAGAACCTTAGTCTCTTTGGCTATCCTAAGGATTTCACGCTGAGAAAAAAGTGGATAGAAAAATGTGGAATAAAAATAGATCCCTCTAAAATAGTAATGAGTAGTACAAGAGTTTGTAGTACTCATTTTGAAATCGATTGTTTCAAAAATACTGAATTAAAGAACAGATTAAAACCAGACGCTGTTCCTTCATTATTTTTAGATAACGGTAAGAAAAAAATTATTATTTGTTGTTTTATTTTGTATTAACTTTTTAACTATTAATTAGCATTCTATTTTTATTGTCATTTTATTGCAATTGCAATATGTAATTATTGATTAAAAATTTTCATTTTAATTAATTCCATATTAATTTTCAAAAGTCTATCCTTAATGACCTCGGAATATTTAAAACTTACATATTTTTGTTGGATAAACATGCTTAAATTAGTGATTTTCCCTTTTAAATCAGTTAATCCTAGATAATGACTTGGGAATGTCCTTTTAAATAATCTTTCTCTGATGTTATATTTCTTTTTTATAATTAAATTGTATTTAAAATCTATATAATAATTTAAAATTTAAATTCTTTTTTCAAATCATTAGCTCCTAATGCATTGCCTGTGCCTGTATTGAGTACATGTGAAGATCAATTCATACGTCCAATCGATAATGAACCTGCTGAACAGTCATCAGAAGAAAAACAAAACAATGTAAAAGGTACTATGTAAAAAATTCATACTAAAATACATTTTAACATGTAATTTAAATCCAATATTATAACTAAATACTGAAAAAATGAATAACTTTTCAGATAATACTTCCATGACAATTGATCTTACAATTGATGATTCATCTAATGATTCGTTGTCCATTACTTTGGAACCAATTGAGAAAAGAACCTCACAATGTATTATAATGGATGTTTGCAATACTGAAGATCTTACTATTGACGGACACGGGTTTATTTTTAAAATGGCTAAGAAAGTTGTACTTCCTAGTTTATATTGGAATAGTGAACATCTTAATGAAAAAAATGCAACACGGTTTTATCAACGAGACTCCAATTATGTAACTGTGAAGATAGTCCTTTTTTTTAATGACCTTGTGCCAACTATACAAATATATGGCAAGAAATATGAATATACAACGCCTATCACAACAAAGAAAGAGTTAGAAGATCTCTTAGAAAAAGTCAATAGTATTGAAAAATGTTGTGGTAGGGGTGGATTTGTCTTTAAACAATGTTTAGGCTATTTTGAAAATAGTTTAGTCAATATGTGTTCTGGCTGTGAAGGGTTGGTAAAAGATCGAGATTTGCAAAGAATGAAATCAAAAGTTGAAGCTAAAAACAAAATGATGGAAAGTTTTGACAACAGAGTGAGTTTACTGAAGGATCTTAAGTTTTAAAATAAGACACTCGTTCTTTAAAAAACTATTAAGGTTTTTTTAAAATATATATGATTTACTTTTCTTTCACCTTAATTTTTAATTTTTTTTATTTATTACATACATTTTTAGTTCTGTATTCTAAAGCGGAATGTTTTTTGGAATACCTAAATATATTGAAATCAGATTTTGTACAAGTAGTTTATGATTTATAATTAGAGCTCTATTTGTATGAACTTGCATATTTCTTCTGATTGATCTTCTGGTATGCTAAGTGGGCACAAAAGGTTTTCCCAGAGAATTAATTTTTTTCTTACTTTTTTCTTTACAAATTATTATTTAAGTAGGTATATAACTAAATAAATTCCTTCTAGGAAACATTTTTGATGTTAAGGGGACGCCACACAGACATTAAATTTGCTGTCTGTATCATACAAGTGCGTAACTTAGCAAATTTATGCTTAGCAGATAAAGTTTAGCTCTGTTAGTTTAAAAATTAGAGTGGATCTACCTATTATAAAACTTATGGTAAGAACATTAACTGTGTTCGTATGGTGTTTTTTCTTACAATTATACAGTATTTAAGTGAGTCATGAGCATTTTTAATTTATCTTATATTGTGTACGCATAATTTGTTAAAAAAATTGAACTATTGAAAAATATGGCAAGAACGTAATCTGTGTTTGTATGTTGGTTACATAGAAATGTTCTCACCATCAAGTTTCATAATAGGTTCCACTCTAATTTTTAAACTAACTGAGATAATTATTATCTGCTGTGAGTAAATTTTCAATGTTATGCACTTGTTGGACGAAGACAACAAATGGCCTTGTGGCATCCTTTTAATTGATTCCTATTTATCTTATAGATTAAAACTGCCTACAAAATACAGATATTATAAAAAAAAAGTATTAATCGTAGCGTTCCATAATTTTAAATTAAACATTCAGAAAATAAATGAATTTTTGAGTGCATATTTGGACATTTTATTGCATAATATATATTAATATATTTATGAATTTTTAAGATTTTTTAGACTTTAGAGCCTTTATAGTTGGTTATTATGCATTTTATATTATATATATTATATTATATGCATACAAATCCGTGCTCTAGTTATAAGTATTCAAAACTTCAACGAATGAGTGTGGTAATACTCCAAATAATATTATGCTTATGTAATTAAAAATGTATGTTTTAATTCAAAAGGTTAAAAAAACCTAAAATGGCATATTGTATAATACTTACGATAAAAAATATTGTTTTGTAACGAATGAATATTATGTAAAATTTTTTTTTCAAAACATTTATTTTCTGAAAGTACGAGTGTCTTAAGTTAAATGGAAAACCCTGTATATTAGTTACATATTAAAATAGTTTATATTTTATTTTATAGTTTGATGAAAAAAAATTACTTATATTACAACTAAGAAGAATAATGGCAAAAATCAAACATGGACTCGCGTCAAAACAATCAGGAATTTCAAATATTATGAAGCCATAAATATTATGCATTGTATTTCACAATATTCATAGATTTTTTAATTTTTTATTGGGGGTTCAATCCAAAGTATATATTAAAATGAGAAACATAGGAACATGTATAAGTAACAATATAACAAATATGTGCAAAAATACCATTTAGTAAACAAATTATTAGTACATTGTTTATCCAATAATTTAAATCTAAAAAAACTGATTTCTTATAAAGTATATAATGTATAATAGGTATTAATGTCAAAGGCTGGGTAAGTTAATGATTTTTTTTTTACTCAGTGAAGTTAAGTTAATATATGTATCAATTACAAAAAGCTAAAAGTTACTTTAACTATAGGTTAAGTCAATTAAGTTAAAAGTTAATACACACTTTTTGTAAACTTTTTATTAAGTTGAAAAAAAAATTATTTGTTTGTACAAGGCTATCAGACTTAATTTTTTTCTAACCCAAAACTAAATTATAGACTATAATGTTCATACTGTGATTTAGACACTCTCACTCAGTTTTTTGAGTTACGACGTATTAATCGTCCATCAACGGTTCACAACTAAAAACAAAAAACAAATCTTTGCCCGTGTGGGACAGATAGTATACCTATGTATAATGTAAGAATTATTATTATGTTTTCACTTGGCAACCAAAATTGTTTAGTTTTGATTTGTTATGACATTATTCAATAGTAAATTTAACTCTGTTAAAATGTGATTATATTCACGGATGAAAATGATTCAACAAATCAAACTATACACTGCCGGCTGAAACCATTATTAATAAAGAAAGAAAAATCAATATAGGTAAGCAAATATTGCAATTTTTTTTGTAATATTTAATATATCTATATTTTTGAATTTATAGTAGTGTTATGGATTTTACACACAACACAAAATAAAACGTACGCACCAATTGAAGATTAAAATAGGTAGTAAAAATCTTAAGTATAGCTACAAACTGCTAATCGAACACCGGTTACTACGACTGACTGACCCTGTGTGTTGTCATGACGGTGCTCCGTCTCACATGAAAGACCCTTAATCAGCGGTTCCCACGGTAGCAGCGTCGTACTACACACACTCTGCATTATGATTGTAATGAAATACTTCTATATATGTTATCAACATATAGATATATATAAAAATAAAATATGTAGGTAGGTAGGAAATAAATAAAAGTGCAGGTTTTTAACTTATAGAAAGTTTTCCATCAACAGCTAATCTCAGAAACTACTGGACTGATTGCAACCAAGGTTATATCAATAGATTTCTTGAGACCCTATGGTTGTTTTAATCTTCTTTTAGTTTTTGGTCACGAAAATTGAATCATTTTTTGTTTAAGGTATATATATATTATATAGGACATAGGACATAGGGTTGCCATTTCGGGTTCAAAATATAAATTATTTTTGAATAAAAGAAAATTATATTTTGATTAATTATGTAAACGCCCGGCAAGGGGGGCACAGACCGAAGGACCACTCGGTGCGAACCGAGAGAAAAATACCAAATTTGAGAACCTTCAGAGAACGCCTACAACTGTTCCGAGTAGGCAACCCAATCTACTCCTGACCAAAGTGACGTTAGGCAATCAATTTCACGACGACTAAATCTATGACGTGGACGGGAGGTAGTACACGGGAATAAGGAAGTACAGTTTAGTTATCGTGTGTGTCGTATCACCCGTATTGGATAATACGGGGTAAACCTACTATACGCCTTACCCTCGTATTCTCTAGCTAATGACACTCTCTAAAATTAATTAGAATGGCACTGTTAACTTGGAGGTACAATGGTGTGCGTTTGTCAATCCTAAATTCTTTCCAATCTAGTAAAATGACTCAAAGATTACATATACCTTGGCACTATTCAGTTTAATAAAACCTCATTGACACATAGTAAGTATATCCCGGCGCTGCTCCTATTAAAGGTAAGAACTTAAGAATGACTTAAATAATTGTAACTCGGGTTTTCAAGTCGGAAACACTTTTATTATATTTAAATAACAAACACAAAATAAAATATACTTGGCGAATTCAGATCACCTAGCCCGTACTACGATCGACGTTTCACACGTACGACCACAGTACCTACGTCCTCGCCGATTCACTCAGCGACAACGGGACTCTTCGTGCCTGCGCGTGCGGCGGTGTTATATAGTAATCTTATCGCTGTCTCAGCACATTTGCTTCACTGACCTAAGTCAATAGTTTACAATTTAAAATGTTCCCACCTCTATTACATATATGAAATAATATTTTGACGACTGTCTACAATATACGACAGTCCCCATTGTTTTTTGAAAAAAATGCCCTCATTTTTAATGATGTTTCTACATACAAATGTCTTATTACTACATTAAATACTAATCTACTTTTACACTATATTACTGTCTCCGCTTATTCGCGTCGTTGACTATAACATTATGCTTAAATGTTAATTTTAATCCTATTATTTTAATAATTATTTTTTTTTAACGCGTTGTTATGGGAGAGAGAAGAAGAGAGAGGAAAAAAAAAATAATAAATATAATTTATATGGTATAAACATAATGAAAATAATAATTTAAACATTTATACAACTGAAAGCATCACAAGTACAACCCGAATACATAAAAATAAAATCTAATGACAATATTACTATTGCACCAAAATCGAAGTCAAAATTAAAAATATATATCACAAGCAATGATACACTAACACAGTATAAAATAAATCCTACAGACCGCTTAGGCAGCGAAAAACATTTAATGCTAGAAACCCAGATAGTAGACTATTCTAACGAAGTAATCTTATACAATTATTCCAACGTATATAGTAATATTCCAAAAAGAATGACAATAGCCACAATTCACGAATTAAACATGCAAAATAATTAACACAAATTACAACAAATTAAATTTAAAACAGAAAATCGATATTTCAACCGCCGTAATTATTATATACTGTATAAAATTAACTCGAAATATGAATACAAAAAAAAATCTCTACCTGTGGCAATATTATGTGAGGATCTAGAAACAATTAGAAACATATAATTCATAAATACATATTAATGATTAATAATTTTTTTATAATATAAATATAAATTGAGTTATATTTTATACTGTATTATAATGTATGAAATTTTTACTCAGAATATAGATACAACAATTTATGTGAATACATATAAGGTTATAATAATTTATTGATTGGCTCTTTGTGGAAAATGTTTTCTTAGAGATTTTTCTCAGTTTGAAGTATAATATATTTATTTCGACAAATAGCAGTAAATGATTGTTGTTCTTCTACGGGATTTTTGTTTTTTTTTTTTCCGTGGTAGTTAATTCTTCTTCTCCTTTGTATTTGTTAGGTAAGTGTTTATTATCTTGCTTGTTTTAGTTTTTCTTCTTATAATCTGTATATATATTTCTTTATTTTTTTTTTATTTATATATTTTATTTATTTATTCTCATATATTATTTTTCCAAACTTCTGTTTTGACTGCAGTCTCTTCCTCGTGTCTTCGTATGAAAAGGTATTTGCTTATTGTTTTTATAATTATTGGTGTAATGCTTATTGTCTACTTTGAAAATATTATATTCGCACTTTGTCTCAGAAGATTGTTGCGGCTTGTTGTCTGTTGACTCGGGAATTTATTTTGTTTATGCTGAAAATACATTCTATTTTTTTGTTTTTTATTTATATATATTTTTACACTTTTTTTTTTTATAGAATTAATTTAACCTATATGTGACATATACTTAATTTACTTATTATTTTTATTACTTAAATAAAAATAAAAATAAATATATATGAATATACGAATTTCATAATTTTACATAATTTCTTGTTTTACTATAATTTGATTAATTGTTCTTTTTTTTTTATATTATTAGTATTATTATTTATTTATTTAATTTAATTCTTCGTGGTATGGCTTTAGTCTATCTACGTGTATAGTATCCGTTGTTTTTTTCCATTTAGTGTTAATGCAATTTTGTAATTTACGTCCGAAATTTTTTCTAAAATTTCAAAAGGGCCTCTGTATTTGTGCGCCAATTTTTTTGATTCTCCTTGTTTCTGGAATTTTATTTTTACTAGCACCTTTTGGCCGGGTTGGTATTCCACTTCCTTGTGGTTCTTGTCGTACTGTTTCTTTTGCTTAATTTGTTCTGCTTCTATTAATTTTGGTAATTCTTGCCTAATTTTTTGTAGTTGTATTATTTCTTCGATTCTATTATGGTCTGTTTCGGGTGGGATGATTTTGTTGTCTAGAGGTTGCGTTGCCTCCGTGCCGCACATTAGATAGAATGGGGAGTAACCAAATCTTGCGTGTGGGTGTGTATTATACGCAAATATAATCATTTTATAATATAGTGCCCAATTTTTTTGGTTATTGTCGACGTAGTGTGTTAAGGCGTTGCATATAATTTTATTCATTAATTCGGTCATTCCATTGCTCTGGGGGTGGTAACTAGTCGAAAAAATTTGAGTTATTCCTAATTTTTCACATATGTTTTTTACTTCGGTATTTTTGAAATGTGTACCTCTGTCGCTGACAAAGTATTTTGGTGTACCGTAGGTAGTTATTATGTCAAATAAAAAATCGATGGTCGCTGCTGCGTCTGCGTTTGTAACAGCCTTTGCAAAAGCCATTTTGGTCGCGTTGCAAGTAGCCACTATTAAATATTTTTTACCTTTTGACATTGGTAATGGTCCTAAATAATCGAAACATAGTCTAGACATGGGTTTTGTGTCGGTTAGCGGAATAGGTTGTAATAAACCTGGTTTTTTACCATTTTGGTTTTTTGAAAATTGACATGACGCACATGTTTTTATGAATTTGTTTGTGTCTTGTATCATTGTCGGCCAGTAATATTTTTTCTTTAGTCTTGCTAATGTTTTGGTGATTCCAAAATGTGCTCATAGTGCTGACTCGTGGTAAGATTTTAGTACTATATTGACTAAATTTTTTGGTATTACTAACAATTTTTTGACTCCGTTTGGTGACCAATTTTTGAAAAATAAAATATCGTTTTCAATTAGGAATTGTCTAGACTTTCTTTTGTATTTTGAATTATTATTTTCTTTTATTGCTGATATGATGCCTTTGCAAAATTCGTCGTTTAATTGGTTTTCTTTAATTTTTTCTATATTTATTGTGTCAAAAGTTATTTCTTCTGTCTCTGTGGTTTCAAAAATATCTTTTACTTGTAACGTGTCTACTGGGTATCGTGATAAGCAGTCCGCCGCTGTGTTCCCAAGGCCGGGTCGGTGTTTAATTTCAATGTCGAATTCTAATAATTTGAAAATAAATTTTGTTATTCGGGATGATGGATTTTTCATTGTTTGGTAATATTGTAGACTAGAATGGTCGCTAAATACTATTACTTTTCTGCCTAACAAATATTCTTTAAAATAGTTCACTGCAAAAACAACTGCTGACATTTCTAATTCAGTGGTAGTGAAGTTCCTTTCACCCCCTTTTAATTTCCTCGAAGCGAAAGCTATAGGGTGTCGTTTCCCATCTTTGTCGTTTTGTTCTAAAATTCCCGAGAGTCCTAGTGATGCGTCCGTGGTTACGAAAACTTGGTGTTCGTCCTCAAAATGAGCTAGTACGGGGGCCGTTATTATTGCATTTTTTAATATATTAAATGCATTATCTTGAGAGCTGTCCCAATTAAATTTATTTTCCTTTTTTGTTAGATCGGTGAGTGGAGTAGCAATTTTCGCAAAATGTTTAATATATTTCCTGTAATAACTAGTTAGTCCTATAAAAGCTCTTACGTCTTTATTTTTGGTAGGTATTGGAAAATGTTTTATCGCCTTTATATTTTTCTCCAACGGTGTTAGTCCTTTATTTGATACTTTATGCCCTAATAATTCTATTTCGGTACCTAATAGTACGCATTTGCTAGTTTTTAATTTTAATCCGGCTTCGTCTAGTCTTTTGAATATTTCTTCAAAGTCGTTTCCGTAACAACATATATCGTCCAAGTATGCTATCATTGTTCTATATAAAAAATCACTAAATAAATTGTTGATAACTCTTTGAAAGATCGGGCCCGAGTTTTTGAAACCTTGAGGTATTCTTTTAAAATTGTATAGACCGAAATCCGTGATAAAGGCTGTCTTATCTTGGTCCTCCCTTTTTACCGGAATCTGAAAATAACCTTGGCAAAGGTCGATAGAACTGTAGTATTTTGCTCCCTCTAAGCTTCTAAAAAGGTCTTGTGACCTAGGTATATGGTGTTTGTCTAGGGTTGCCGCATTTGGCTAGGGTCTTGTCGGGACGTTATAGAAATTTTAGGATGGAGTGTATAAAAATACTAAATTTTGAAAGAAAAATTAGAGTTCTTTATTTTAGAAAAACTATTAGTATATTTATTAAGGTTACATACAAAAAAAATATTTTTAATTTATTGCAGATGTACTTGGATGGCCATACTTTTCAGAAGATTTTGCTTTTTTCAATAGTTCTTTTTCCCCTTTGACATATTTGTAGAATTCTGCGCAAGTCATTTTATAATTAACTTGACACTGTAAAATCGACTCCATAGTCTCTGGGAGCAGGCGATTTCGTTCATCAGTCCACTGGGCCGACATTAACGAAAAAACTCTTTCCACTGTGGCATTGTGTGCAGGGATTGCAAATAAATACTCGCATAATTTCAACAGTTGACATTTTCTTTCATGGTTTTCAGTTTCTTTAAAAAAAATAATCCATTTTTCTTCCACCGAATTGATCGACCCAGATAGCATTCTTGTAATGATAATATTATATTAATCCAATTAATTCGTTATAATAATAATATTGAAAAAAAAATATCAATTTGGTATCAAATAATCATTTTTCAAATAATGTTTTTAAATAAATGTTTTTTTTTTTTTAAATAATGATTACACAAAATAATATTTTATTTATATCATTAATATGAAATCAAAACTCAAATAATAAAATTTAATTTTAATTGTATTGTCATTATGTTAATAAAACCAAAATAATACTATTACATGACAAATATATAATTAATATGAAGTGTAATCTGAAACAAAAATATAATGTCATTTGTTTATTATCAATATGTAATCGAAACTAAAATAATTTTATAAAATTAATTATAATTATAATATTAAATACATTAATAAATAATAATTATATTATAACAATATAATTATATGTGTATATATATATTATAGTATCACTACTATAAGTGTGTTTTAATATTTTAATATTTAATATTATAATACTTTTATACTATTATAGTAGGTACCAGGATTTTTTTTGCTTAATTTAATTTATATTCCAAAACTAACCAAATATTCTAAAAATATCCAAAAATCTATGGATTATGTCCAATCACAGTGACTACCAAATTAGCAGTCATGTCCGTCAACGTGTTAATCAAACATTTTTACTTCTTCTTTCCAAAACCCTAAATGTGATTGTATATATGGTTATTAATTATTATAGTTATTACATATTACTCATCATAATTCAGTGGTGGTTTTGGGGGTGAGACAAGTGAGGCACCACCTCACTTATAATTTTTACGAAAATAAAAAATATTTGGTTATTTATATTGGTATTTTGTACTATTTTTAAATTTAAAATTTTAATCGTATAATTTAATTTTTAATTTTAATTAATTAATTTATATTTATTTATTTTAGATATATATTTATAAATATATATATATATATATGTTACGATCAAAAGCCGAAATCGGGCAAACCTCAGAAATGCCCGGACAAAACGCGAACGGGCAATATATATAACAACAATATTGAATATTATTTTTTTAATTTTTTTGTACAGAACTTGTGTGAACGCAAGAATGGCTGCGCAGTGCGCGTCGCTGCAACGTAACTTACGAGCTATTATAATATTAATAGTTTCCATTTAATATAATATTACGTCCGGCCCGGCACGGCGCCGCCGCCACCGCCACCGCTAAAGCGCTAAGATCGACAGAGGCGAGAGGCGGTAGCCGCCGTCGCCCAAGTTAGTGCATGCGAGTGCGTCTACGCACACACATATAAGCTCGTAAAATAGTGCAAATGCGCATGCGCAGACCGCCGCCTGATACGACTAAAATCAACCGACAACCGCACAACGATATTATAAACATTGGCCGCCGCCGCAGGGACCGCCGGTACATTAATTGTATGCAGCCGCTTTACTTGGTAGGTGGGGGGCTGCGCTTGCCAGACGGCCGTTGTTCATTAAATACGGAAAAATTATATTATTAGTATTACGTAATATTATTTTATAAGAATATAAAAATATAATAATAATATTGAATTATTAACCAAATATCTGGTTTTCCCAAATTTTGTCGTAGTTAATCAGTCGTAAACAAATTGATAACTGATAAGTGAAACTTGATAATTTCAAGAATTGGCTCCCTGTAACCACTAATAAACCAGTAAAGTTGTATAAAGTGTAGGTATACTGTGTACCGGGTATACGTTACCCACAATCCGAAACGCGCATGTTCGGCACTACGATGACGTCGTACGTCTATATAGTGTATTAGCACAGATTATATAATCTGTGGTATTAGTGTCTACTGTCTACATTTGTCTACACTGTTTACGTTTAGTACATTTTATTAACCGTCAAGAGTCAAGACGAACACGTGACAACTGCCCAGGGGGGTGTAACTCTCCGGCAGTAATAGGAACAGAGTAGTTACTTGTACCAACCACCAGGCACGCCACATACAATAACTAACCAGTAACCGCCACAGCGTTGCGGTCGCTGTCGAAAATCGAATTAAGTTCAATATATTTTATCATTCACCGCAACGACATTTTGACCGTTTAATGTTTTAAACTTTAACTTTTCAGTTTTCGAGTTTTGACAATTTCGTTCTTGGTCTATGCGTTATTATTAATTTTATTATTTTCTATAAATTTGAGTGTTCGATATACAATTACGTACTTTTATTAATAATGCCTAAAAATCAGTACCAGTGTTCAGTGCAGGGATGTAAAGAAAAGTGTAAGTTATTTTATTTATCATTTTATTTCCTTTATATTATTGTAATGTAGGTATACATATGTAATTATGCGTGTTATGTAATTGTCGTAAATACATTATAGATATTATGACACACCGGTTTCCAAATCCTCGATTACATAAAGCTCGGCTATTAGATTGGATAAGACTAGTTGGATTATCAAATATGAATTCAGAAATAGTGTACAACAAAAACGAATTTGTCACTCTCATTTTTCAGATGACTGTTTTAGTCATGGTACAAAGAGGCTTAATGCTAATGCTTATCCTACCTTATTTATGCCTGGTAAGTTATTTATCTTGGTAATTGACTTTGGGTAAATGGTAAATCAATTTATAAAATAAATTGAGTAAACTTATTTAACAGTAGAAGTTCAGATTTCATTAATTATTTGGTACTTATTACTAATATTAAACAAGATAACAAATACCTTAATAGTAAATAATATTACTAACACACTTTTGATATACTATTTATTATGTATGTTTTATTATAGTGTCTAGTAGTGAGGTTACATATTTTATACATGATGTTCCATCTGAGCACCAGACATTACAACAACACAGCACACCGACTAACCAACATTTCAATTTGGAAACCTCCTGTAATGGTGTTGATAATGTTTCAAGTATTAAAGTGGATGATCCTCCAACGCTTTGTAGTTCAGGTAATACTACATCATTTTAAATTATATGTCATATGAAAATTTTCCAAAGGCAAGTTACAAATATCCCAAGTATTAATGCATAATAATGTATTAATATAATATAACTAATTATATTTCAGATGAGTATTGACTACCTATTGAGTATATCATATTACATTTTCTAGGGGACCCGTCGGTTACCACCAACCCCTCTATTTAAGAAAAATCTCAGCTATTGCCTCTGAAATTACAGTTCACCACACAACTGGATATAGCATTATGATAACATTGAGTATTTTTGGTTTTTTAGATAATCTTGATGTATCTGGAGTTGAAATTTTGAATTTGGAAAATACTGATACAGAAACTACAATAATTATGAATAATGTCATGAGTAAGTTATTTGTTTCGAGTTGTATGCAAGTATTATTGTTATTTAATTATTCAGTTATTTTATTATACTATTATTTATTGCACCAATATTGCTATTCACTGCCTTGGCATGTGATGCTTTAATGCTTTAATGCTTTGATTATTTTTTTTGCTTATAAAATAGGTTCTAGTAGTGTAGCTGGAAGCTCAAAAGTTAGTAAAGCTGCTCAAAAAAATGCAAATAATCAATCTGGTATTTTTGCTTATTCGTTTAGTATATTATTTAGGGCACAAAATTTAATAGTGTACCAATTTTTTACATGATTATAAAACTTTCTTGCCTTAATAATAAGTAATAATATTACATCTATAAACTTTAACTAATGTAATCTATTTTAACTTTAGGTCTGTTAAAAAAAGTAGGATTTAGTCGTTGCAAACAACTAACGCCTAATTGCAGAAAATTTTATGGTATTACCAACAAATTAATAAAGGAACTTAAAAAACAAGGAGCCAAAAAACAATTATTTAAGCAGAAATTAAAGGCAGCAGAGCGTATGTCTGAAAAGTATCTTAATGATAACTTTTCGGAGAAAATGACAGCCACCGCTTCGTTATTTACTAAATTGCAATTAAGAGAAACCAAAAAAAAAAATAAAGGTCGAAGATTCACTTTAGACGAAAAAATAATGAGTTTATCTTTGTATAAGCGGAGCCCAAAATGGTATCGTATGTTGTCCATCATGTTTGCTCTGCCGAGCCCTAAAACATTACAAAATGTTTTAAGCAGTGTGTCGATAACTACTGGAGTCAGTCCAATAGTTATGAAAGTGCTTAAAGAAAAATCTGAAAAGTTGAAACCACTTGAAAGGTAACCAAAATTACATTTAAATCAACATTTAAATAATAAAATAATTAAACTGTACATTCATATAGATTTTGTTCATTGATGTTCGATGAAGTGTGTCTAAGCAGTGGTTTACATTACAATAAAGCGACAGATCAAATTGATGGGTTTGTTGACAGTGCATCTAACAGAAATCAAGAGTATGCTGATCATGCACTGGTGTTTATGATCCGTGGCATAAAAAAAAAATTCAAGCAACCAGTAGCATATACTTTTTGTCAAGGTGCTACAAAACATGAAAAATTGGCATGTTTATTGAAAGAAGTAAGAATAAAATTAATTATGAAATTCGATACATAAATGTGGGATTATCCGTATCTTATTTGGTATAATATCTCTTATCATAAGTTGTTAGTCAGTGTGAAATGAACCGTGATTGTGATTGTACAGAGTAAGTTAAGTTAGAGTTATAATACACAATTATTTTACGTGACATTGTTGTGTTAATGATTTTGTTTAATCAACCTCAACCCACGTGAAGTTATTACAACATTGTATTAACTTCTGCATAAATATAAAGATATATTTTTGTTTTTAGGTTGTAAGAGAAGTCCACAAGACCGGCTTACAAATAGTAGCGACAATTTCTGACCAAGGACGTTCTAATGAAAGTTCTATAAAACTTCTAATTAATGAGACAAAAGGATTTTTTATCAAGCGCAATGAAAAATATACAGATGATATTTATGAAATACAAGTGGATGAACAAAAAACTATCCAGATTGTTCATATTTTTGATGTCCCACATTTGATAAAATGCATCAGAAATAACCTTTTAACAAAAGATTTAATTTTTTCAATGAATGGGGCGAAAGGTTGTGCAAAGTGGTCCCACATACAAGATCTGTACAATATTGACAGTGCAATACCGGATTGTAAAATGTTACCCCGAATTACCGATCAACATGTAGTGCCAGAAAAAATTTCGAAAATGAAGGTGAAATGTGCGACTCAAATTTTTTCACAGCGTGTGTCATCCACTATGATGTTTTAGTCATGTAAGTAATGAGTACAATTTCTGTCTAGTTTGTAGTTATAACATTCTTATTTGTAAAATAAGTGTATTACTATATTATTCTAATAAACTATACATTAGCATATAAATCTGTTTTCTAATTAATCACTAATTAGCCTTTTCACATTCTGTTAACAGCTAAAAATTTAATTGATCCAAGTGCTAATGACACAGCAAAAATATGTTTGTTCTTCGATAAGCTATTCGATTCCTTGAATGGTAGTTTTGATGGAGTAATAGATGGGAAAATTTATCGAACATCAATAAAAAAGAACTCTCCTCATCATGCACTTTGGGCGGAAAGTCTTCAAGTTCTTTCCACAATGAAATTTGTTAATAAAAATGGAAAAACATGTGTTGTACCAACCATAGAGAATTTGATGAAAACAATACGAGGTTAGTATTATCTATATAATAATTTTTATTTATTTTTGATAAAAATATGTTTTCAAAATAAAAATAACAATATGATGCATTTAAAAATAAATTAATTGATATTATTAGGTTTGACTGCGTGTTGGAACAAACCTATTATTTTTTATTGTTTGATTTTAGGTTTTCAAAAATTGTTTAAAACATTGTACAATTATGGCATTCGGTCACTCTTACCACGACATGTAAATCAGGATTCTGTAGAATGTTTTTTTGGTGCAGCACGTAGTGTCAGCTCAAGTAATCCATCATGCCACGCATTTGCATCAGCATATAAAACATTATTGTTGAACAATTTAATGTCATCTAATTCACCAGGCTCAAACTGTGAAGATATAGTTGAAGCAAGTCTAACATCTTATAGAAATTTAATTATTAAAGACCCTAATGACATGAATGTGGTACAAAATAATTGTAACATAACTGTCGATCTACCTGTAACCATTTTTAACGTGCCAATGGGTATTAATGTTTTACGGGAGAATGTTCATACCTATATAGCTGGATACATTTTAAAAAAACTAAACAAAAACTTATTTAAAAATTGTAAAATCTGTCTTAAAAATCTTTGTGCTAACAATGTGACAACAACGCATGATCTAATAACAGCTAGAGATTACACTTTTAATAGACAGTCATTAAAATACCCGTGTCAGATATTCGCTTCTTTGGTTCAACAAATAATTGAATATGTAACCGGACAAATGTCTAAAATTTGTCATCATAAAGATATTTGTATGACACTAAGTTTTAACATAAGGAATAATTTTAATTTTAAAGACCTTCCACTGTGCTCAAACCATAGTGGTGAAATTTTTGTTAAAAAAATTATAAATAGTATTGTTTTCTTAATGCTTAACCATTGGTGTACAGAAATAAATAGAATTTTAATAGGGAAGAAAAAAATTCACCACTTGGAATCTGATCCGATGAAACTAAAAGCAAATGTCTGGCACGCAAAACATTCTAAAAAACCAAAAAACACCCTAGGAAAATTCAACAGTGTTGCTTAATAATTATAATAATTTTAATTTTGATTTTTTGTGAAATTTATAGTATTTTAATATTTTGTATCTTATTAAAAAAATAAATTATCTACTTGTTTATACAAAATATAAATATCGTGTTTTTATTTTTTATCATCAATTATAGTTTAAGAAAATTTATTACATTATTTTTATGAATATAATAAATAATAATATTATAATATATTTTAATATGTAATATTTATGAAGTATCGATAATATTGATAATACAGGTATCGATAATATTGATAATACAGGTATCGATAATACTGATATCGATGTTGAGGTATCGATATTGGGGTACCGCATATTCGATTGTACTTCATAGTTCATTTTTCCAACCACGCGGAGCGCTAAACGCAGTAACCATACTTTTGCATTGAGTTGGTTATCTATAAAGGTATACTTGTCTATGCAACTGCCTATAATATAGTCACGTCGAATCACGACTATACTCCGGCCCACGAGAGAGTATTATCGTTTTGCGCATGCAGACTGACGGCGGAGACCGTTCCGAGGCCCCATTTCCCCCACTATTTCCGCGACCGCTATACACCGTATAGCGTTGAGCGCTGCCGACCGGTACCGAACAGTTGTCGGCACATGCCGAGTAGTGGGGAATGCGCGGAATCAGACGAGTTTTCGTCGGGCGACGGTAATACTCTCTCGTGGGCCGGAGTATAATGCAGTATATATTATACCATTATAAAATAGATTTTGGGTCCGTCTGCCGTCAGTTGTAACTTGTAAGTATACTACCTATCTATTTATAATGTAAATAATAAGTATTTTTAAGAACAACATTAGTATTAGGTAAATCATATTATGAATATTACCTATATAATACATAATATATTACCTACTATTATATTATGATTTATGAAGGAATATTATACTTAAATCATTGTATGATTTTATATCTCAATATCTTCGGGATTCTTCTGGTTGCATAAACAATCACTAAACATTTAACAAACCAATAGTTCGCTAATTATTAAATTATCAATCAAATTTTAGTTTCAATTTTATTTATTATAATATGAATTAATTAAGTATCTAAGTGGTTAAGTCTAAAAAGTAAAGCTTTTGGAAAATACAAAAAAAAAACTACCTACCAGCAATATTTATATCAAAACTTGCGGCTTGAAAATTACCTATCATAAGAGTTTAGGACTTTATAGGTACTCCTTACTTTTACTATAGATAGATGCTATTAATATTATACATTTATTATTAGGTAATAAATAACTTATAAAAAACTTAACTTACTTAATTATATAAATTAAAAACATGTAGGTAGGTAGGTACGTTTTAATTGACTGGTTATAATATGTAAGTACTCATTGTTACTTATATAGTTATATGTAGGGTCAACTGATGTACCTACATAATATACCTTATCATTTTAAAGACATCATTTTATATGAATTGTCATTATGTTTTATTTTCATTTGCCCCATTGATTTAATGTAGAATAGATTGTGTTGTTTACATTTGCCCTATATATTTTAGGGCAAATGTAAAAACTCACATAATAACCATTTGAAAAAATAATTAATATTTACTGATGATTCATTTACTCTTCCCCAGACTTTTTTCTATTCTAATGAATTGTACCAGAGATATGATATTCATTTCTATTTGCTCCAAATTTTTTAATTTTTTTAGTGTAAAGAGGTAAATGTAAATTTAAAATTGTGAACTAGATGATGTTTTTATACTAAATATGATCCAAAAATATTGTTCCTTGAACATTTTTACATATAATTACATTGAAATATATAATATGTAGAATACATATTATATAAGGGTGAGTGTTAATATTAAAATAAACCTTGTCAAAACCATTTACATTTACCCCGGTTTACACTACATAGATTACAAATTATATATCTCCTATTTAAATAAAAAATAATATTTGTTTATAAGTTTTTAATATTTTTTTAGTCTTACTTAAAACATTTTAGTTAAATTAATTGGAAAGAAAAATATATTGGTATACCTAGCTATAAAATCATATACAGTGGATTTGGTTGATTATCTCTACCATTTATCTAATTATGTTACCTAGGTACTATTCAATAGATTTTTATTATTTTTTTTTTTACTTAAAATGTTCTAAAAAAAATAAATTATATTTTAATTACTTATATTTGTGTGGGTATTTTTATATCTATTTTTAGTAACTATGAGTTTTAATAAGGAATCAAATTTGAGTGCTCGGTCTAAACGAAGACGTATTCAAGAAGAATTACAAAATAGTAGGAATAATTATGCACATTCTTTTAATGAGTCGCAGACACTAATTAATGATGAACACTCTCAATCCAACGTTGATATTTGTTTTAATACATCTGTATCTCAACCAGCATTTAATGAAATAATAAATGAATCTTTGGTCAATCAAAATTCTGAAGGAAATCAAAATCAAGATTACATTTTAGAATTTTTTAACGAATTAGATACTAACACATCATGCTTATTCTCATCCTCCTCGTCAGAATCTGAAGAAGAAAAAGATGATTTATTAAATGAAACAACTGATCAAATATTTATTTTTCGTAAATTGATTGCTCAGTGGGCTGTTGATTTTAATATACCCCAAACTGCCCTAAATAAACTATTAGTTTTATTAAAGCAACATAAATGTTTTGAATTTTTGCCTAAAGATTCTAGGACTGTAATGCATACAAAATCTGTTGACTCCTATAGTAGTTTTCATACTGTTGAACCAGGGACATATTACCACTTTGGTCTGTTGAATGGAATCAAAAATAATTTCCCAGAATTGTCAAAAGGTGAGACAGATATCTGCATTGTGATAGGAGTTGATGGCTTACCATTATTTAAAAGTAACCCGGAACAGTTCTGGCCAATACTGGCATACATCCGTCCAGAAAGCCATAATGTGTTTCCAATCGGTATTTATTGTGGCAAAGAAAAACCAGCCGATAGCAATGCATTTATGAAAGAATTTATTAATGAAGCTAAACTTTTGAAAGATACTGGAATTTTAATAAATAACAAAGTTTATAATTTGAAAATTGATGGCTTTTGCTGTGATGCCCCGGCGAAGTCTTTTTTATTGAAGACTAAGGGTCATTCAGGATTTTATTCATGCTCAAGATGCGAACACGAAGGAAAATATTTATTAAATAGAATGTGTTTCCCTTATACTCCAGATTCAAGATGTCCACCAAAAAGAACACATGCAAATTATATTACAATGAACAATGAAGATCATCATGTTGGTAATTTATCTATTATATCTACATTGCCTTCATTTGATGTAGTTACTTGTTTTTCGCTTGATTACATGCATTTAGTGTGTGTCTCGGTGTTGTTCGAAAATTGATTTTGTTATGGATAAAAGGTCCAATTAATATTCGATATCCTCCTTGGAAAATTAAACAAATATCAAAAAATATTGAAGATATCAAAGTGAATATGCCATGCGAATTTGCCAGAAAACCTCGTAAGCTTGATGAAGTTAACCGTTGGAAGGCAACGGAGTTTCGAACATTCTTGTTGTATATTGGAACTGTTGTTACTAAACCAGTATTAACTGATGAACACTGGAAACATTTTTTTGGTTTTAGTATAGCAATGTTTATACTGTTAAGTCCTGACAAATCTAAATTTATTCACATTGCAAGAAAATTACTGGACAATTTTGTGAAAAATTTTGAAATTATATATGGTCCACATCTTATATCCCATAATATACATGGTGTAACACATATCTGTGATGATTATGAAAAATTCGGCCCACTTGACAACTGTTCGGCATTCCCTTTTGAAAATTATATGGGATCCTTAAAGAGAATGTTGAGAAAACCTCATAAGCCTCTACAGCAGATTGTTAAAAGGTATAGTGAAATCTGTTGTTTAAAATCTACAGTTGGAACTCAAAAGAAAACGTCTTATCAATTTGGTGGACCACATAAACGAGGACCCACAATAGAAATTGGACTCAATGATTTTGATGGAGATCAATTTACCTCTATAGTATTGGAATCCATGAAAATAAAGATAAATGTTGATGCAGACTCTTATTTGCTTACTAAAGATGATAATATTTTAAAAGTTTTTAATATAATACATTATAAAAATAAAAATGAAGTCATTTTAATATGTAAACAATTTAAAAACAAATATGTTATGTTTAATAGTCCTATAAAATCATCTAAGTTGGATATGTATGTAGTTGATAAATTATGTAATAATTATGTTTGTTGTTGCATCTTTAATATTAAAAAAAAAGTTATCATTTTACAAAATAAGGATAATCTAATTGCCTTTCCAATTATTCATTCGACAAGAACATAATTAAATTATTTTTATTCTACTGTTAAGGCTATATTATATGTTACTGTATTTTTAAAAATATCTTCTTAGTACCTAATAATATATATTTAGTTCTATTAGTATTTATATATAAGACACAAGTTATTTTTAAGAGAATAATGTACACAAAACCTTTATTAATCATATTATTATGTTTTATTAAGATGTGATTTCATTATAAGATTTTATAAAATTAGTATTAATTCACTAATTTTGTTTTCCTTATTATACATGAAATGATTGGATTCACTTTTTATATTTTTTATTTTATTATATAGATAATATTTTAACAACAATTTAGAAATGTGAAATACCTTTAGTCTTAGCTGATTATTTATAGTAATATAAATTGTTTGTATAATTAGATTTATTATGTAATTTCAGTGTATTATATTATTTAAAATGTGGTCAATTATTGCTTTCCGTGACAATTCTGTGGAGGTTGTTCCATCAAAATGGTATGATAGTGGAGTCTGTGCATGGCCTAAAAGAAATTTAAAACAATGCATAGATCAACAATTGTCTCCAAATTTAAAAGAATTTAGATATTTGAAAGGCCGAAAATTAGGGAATGATACAAGTATGTTAAATACATTATATATAATATTTAAATTTGATAAAAATAAATTGTATAAATATGCTTGTGCCATTCATGACTCAGTTATGTTCTTATTTATCTTAAAATAATATTTATATTTTAGATAGATTTCACATATTATATTATATTACATAATAATATATACACATTATATTTTCTAACTAATTTTATATATTAAATAATAATAAGAAAAATATTTTTATAAGAGAAAACAACAACAACATGTAGGAATAGTACAATTTATTATATTACTAGGTATAATATATTAATATACAATAATATATAAGTACTACGTATTTGTATACTATATTAGTATTCCAATTTGGGGAATATTTTTATGTGTGTACAATCCTATTTTATTACATACAACCCTGTATTGTAATGTTTGTTTATATTTTATCTGTAGAGGATTTTAATATTGCTTAAGAAAAGGCCAACATTGCTAAAACAACATCAGATTTATCTACTAATGAATCATCTCATGAAAATGATAATAATAAAGAACATAGTGGTAACAAACAAAAGAGAAGAGTATGTCAGCAAGAAGTCCAATCTAAAAAAAGTTTGTGGAGTCCAGGCTCAAGTGATATTTTTGGTAAAATAATTTTTAAACTAATTGCTCGTAATGAAATTACGAGTGAAATTATTTATTACTCTTGTTTTTTTTTTTTTTAATTTTAGACGATAGTGACACTGATCCACACTATACTATACCTAAAATCAACCAAGGTAACATATAATATTATTTGAGTTTTATATAATTATTAGTTATAACTAGGTAATTAAACATTGTACAATGTTCTCTCTAAAATAATAATAATTGTATAGGTATACTTATTTTTTTGTATACATTATATATTTACAAAAATTAAGGTGTAATTTATTTATATAAGTAGGTAATCTGTATGGTACAGATTTTTGATTATAAAACTGATAGTTTCCATGAATTTATTATAACCTTCTTTAATTTACAATTAGTTCTACGTATTATCTTAGACCTAGAGGTACCTGTATAGGTACTTTTATATGGCGGGCCAAATCTGTGATGTACTTCTGTATTTTGGCCAACATTTTTAAATTTTTTAGATATAAGGAAAGAGTTAATGAAATTGGAGATATCTATAGTATATGAAAATTATTTTTAGTACCTAATTAATATATTAAAAACAATAAATGTTATAATAATTAATAAATAATAAATAAATATATTTTCAAAACATCAATTAGCTTGGTGGGCCATTTTGAAAACTTGTAGGGCCGTAGGTTAGAGATTTCAATCTTAGACTGTAGCTAGTATTATATGAAATTAAATAGTATAATATAATATTATTTTTGCATAATTTAAAATATATTTCAGGCACATCATTATCTCCTCAAATAAAGTCAACGAAACCTCAAAATATACCCTTAACATGGCCTCAACAGTCCGTCAGAAAGAAGCTTCACTTTGATAAATGTCTTAAAAATGCCAGTAAGTAAATTATTTTGCCTATGTTTATTATATATCTATATATAATGTTAAATTCTATGACTGAATATTAAAAAAATATATATAAATTTAATAGCTTACTAAATTGTGGTTTTTAATTTCAGATCAAAATGAACAAACACCTGATGACCACACTACTATCATACAAACATTATCCTCTCCATTTAAAGTTTCAACCATCAATAATGCTACTATCACAAGTACTCCACTACAATCTAATTCTAAGATTCCAACTTCAAATGATAATATTGGTATGTTTATATTATTAGTGTATTGTAGTAGCTATTATAATATATAATGTAGTATGTCTTATATTTTTAATCAAATATTTTTTTCTGTTTTATCAATGTATTATTTTTATTGATTTTTTTGTTTAGAAATTTTTGACAAACTAAACTGAAACATTTTAAACATAAAATATGAAGTAAAATCTTTGCATGATAAAATTGATAAGCTGGAAAATCTTATAGTAAATATCAGATCTAATACAACTGAATACAGTAATGAAGATGCCACTAATAATGATAAAGATTCATTTCAATATATTATAAACAATGAATTTCCTTTGAAAGATGAAGACTCTCTTCAAAAATTTGAAGATAAACTTATTTTTGATCCAAACTTCAAAACTCAAATGGTATAAATGTACTCAAATTAAAAAAAATAAAATAATTTTAACAGTTATTATATTATTCCTTAAAACTTGCTGAACTAAGACAAAAAAATTATATTTTTAGGTTAATGAACTAAGTCGATATGTCCGTAATACACTTCCAAGTACCATTAGATCAATGATGCGTTATCTTTTCAACGATAATTTATTGCAAGAATATAGTTACAAAGGACAAAAAAAGAAGAAAATATTTTCAACATTAAAATCATGTTCCATTATATTTGGTAACATAAAAAATTACTTTACTTTATATATATTAGCAATGAATATAACATTAATGATGTTTGTGTATTTAGATTCTGTAAAACAAATGAAGAGATACCAGAAATATGATAAAATTGATGTAGAACAACCAATAAAAATTTTCATTGCTGGAGCTAAATTTCGGGGAAAATATAATAAGCCATCTCAAGAAGACTTATCAGATAATTAATATCTATATCAATTGTATGATTTAATGTAATAATTATTCTCAGTAATGACATACGTCATAAACATACATGTAAATTAGAAAAGATTTTTTTTTTGTAAGAGGAACTTACAAAATGTTGTACCTATTTAATAAAAGGATATTAACTAAAAGAAACACATTATTTGTTGATTGTTATACTTATTTGATATCCTAATATTACTCCTTTAATAATGTTTATTAATTATTATAATTGAAAAAAGTTAACATAATATGATACAATTATTTATGAAAATCATATTTTTTTGTTGACAATATATCATAGAAGTTATAAAAAATATTTTATAAAATAATATTAAAGCGTTATATTTTATAATATTTATGTATTGACTAAAATAAATTATTATTAGAATAATTAAAAAGTATTTTTAATTAAGTATTTGATAAATAATATTTTAATACTATTTCATAATAATCTTTTTATATTATTATTCTACTAATAGCTTATAAATAATACAAAAGTATTAATAATATAATGTAACTTCAGTGGCCAACCATTATTTTATTAACAATATTAAAACATTTTTGTAACTAATTCCATGGTTGAAAAAAATGTTTATTTAATGATGTACATTACACCAATAAGATTTATATATTGTCAAAAAAATATTTTCTTGCTATCTGGGGACTTCCATTCTTCCGAAGCAAGTTTAACTTCTAAAAAGTTTTTAAGATACATATATTGCTCAAAGATATTATCCCTTAAAGTTTCCACACCATTATTATTGAGGTATAAAATAGTATTTTCAATTTTTTCCCATTTTGGGGTTTCAGATAGTGTCATCCAGTCAAACACATCATACTTATCAAATGAAACAGACCACTTTTTCAGATACTCAGAAGCTGTGTTAAAAAATGATAGTGTTTCTTCTTCAAATTTTGAAATCAAAATTGTAGTTTCAGGTGTAGGATTCTCATTTTTAAGTTTCTGCATTTTCATTTTGGTTTGCATGCCAATAAATTTGGTAGATTTCCTTTCAATTAGGGTGTTTTGTGTTTCGTATAATATTTTTCTAATTTCAATTACTGACACTTTGTTCTTTTCAACGCTTTTTATGTTTTTCTCAAACAAATTTAAGTTGGAATGTAGAAACAGGAAATAAATTTCACTAATCGGACTTTTAAAAAAATCTAAAATAATTTTAGGTACTCTTTCTGCAGAGTCAAAAAAATTTTTGAGTGGTGTCCAAAGTTTCAAAATTCTTTCAACCGCGGGCATTAATGACAGCCATCTTGTTCGTGAATGTGACAAAAGAGTTTGATAATTAATATCAACAAATGAACAGAACTCTTTCAGTTTCTCTGTCCTAACCGTGTATATTGCAAAATAATTAAATATTTTAAGGACGATAACTTCAACATCTACTGATAATATTCCAGAAGCGCTTGATATAGTATTGTGCAGAATATGGGCTGGACATCCAATACCTTCTATAGGCAGGGCCGGCGGAAGGCACAGGCAACACAGGCCTATGCCTGGGGCGGCATTATGGAAGAGGCGGCATTTCCTTGATAGTAGGAAGGACCGTATTTAGAATAACATAAATATGTTGCTACAATGCTACTTAGGCTAACGCAAAAACCAAAAACCGTTTTTAAAATACCAATGATTTAATTAATATAAATTAAATAAATTTAGTTTTGGTTGGGACGGTTTATTTAAAAGTACAAATGTATAATACACCGAAATAAAATGTAGATAACGTATAACATTAATTGATTTTTCCCCGAAATGACGAAGTCGCGGTGGTCGAAAAGTCGTTCTGAAGCCCAAGGAATTTAAAAAAAAATATCCGACTTTAAATTTGTGATGTGTTTAGTAATATGGTATGATATTTTATATGAAATTAATATTTCGAGCAAACTTCTCCAATCACCCTCGCTTGATCTATCAGAAGCTACTAACCAATTAACACGTTGGCTGACGCATGGCCGCCGGCGCCCCAAGTAATTTCTGAGCGTGGTGGGCCATACTATTTTCACATAATTTATCGTAAATGTTTACGTTTGTAAAAATAGCTCTAATTTTCCGATTTTGATAAAATTTATACAGTTTTAATCAGTAAACCTTGTATAATAATATAAAATGAAGAAATGTCTTGGGTCGCCGGCTGGCAAGTGGCCTAAAAATGATATGACTTTATATAATGGGCCACTGTTGGTCGCCGGCGGTCTTGTTCTAAACATAAACTTAGCTGGTATTTTTTTTTGCTTATCATAATTTACACTATTATAGTTTCTGTGGCGATAAATCGATTATTCAATGTCTGTCGTCTTTAGTTTTCGTTTTCATTGTGACCGTTGTTGATAGTGTTAAATTCCTTTTGTGTTTTATTTTTCAAATAAAATTAAACTTTTTACAAAATGGATGAAGATATGATAATAGATTATATATTAATTAAACGACTCTTTTAGTGAAAGTATTGACGATAGTGATGCTGATCCGTTATTTCAAATTGAAAATGAAAGTAATAGTGACTTTGATGATTCTACTGAAGACGAGGACGAGGAGGATCATTCAATTTCTGTACATAATAATGTTCAACCACTTCAACCCGCCTGGAATATAGTTTCAGGTAATAATCAAAAACATTTCAACTTTATTGGAAACTCTGGACCCTTAGTTATATTAGACGAAGGTAGTGGGCCTATAGATTTTTTCAAATTATTTCTTACCGATGAAATAATTCAACTCATGGTTATTGAAACAAATAGAAATGCTCAACAAATGTTAAGTTCACAAAGAATATCAAGGGGTAGTAGATTTTCGTCTTGGGTACCAATAACCAAGGAAGACATCGAACATTTTTTGGGTCTTTTGTTATGGATGGGACTAGTGAAAATGCCATCATTGTCCGACTATTGTGAACAAAGCAGAACGTTACCAAAACAAAGTTGCATCAAAAACTATGAGTAGAAATAAATTTGAGCTTATTCTACGATTTTGGCATTTTGAAAATAATGATTCTGCAGATAAAACAGACCGATTGTATAAAATTAGAAAATTATTAAATATAGCAAATGATATATTTAAAAATGTGCACCAACCTGGGGAAATAATAGCTGTTGACGAATCAATGATACCTTATCGTGGCAGACTCAAATTTCGACAATATATTCCGAACAAAACTCATAAATATGGCGTTAAATTTTTTAAAGTGTGTGTAATGATTAGGGCACGGATGATGTTGCATTTGCAACTTTTTTTCTACTTTTTCAATTAATTGCTAAGTAAGTTTTAAATACGTTTCATGTAAGTACGAATTCAAATCTAAAAGTTTTAAGTGCAATTTTTTGCAATTTTTGGGATTTTTTCAATTTTATTGCAATTTTGTCGAATTTACTCATTTATACAACTATTTTAGCAATATTAAAACTTATATATGACTTAAAACCATTATTAAAATCAATGATATACTAACTGGACAAAGAAAATCGTTCGATGGTTTACCCGAAGACTTAACAGTAAGCGATTTATCTTATTTTAAATACGCTCCGCTTACATCAACCGACGTAGAATGAAGTTTTTCGAGATATAAGAACTTACTAGCTCCAAATCGAAGAGGGTTTGATTTCGAAAATTTAAAACAAACACTTATAGTACAGTGCAATGATGTATATAATATAATAAATTTATAATGGCATGATTATAATGTAATGTATATATTTTTTTTTGAATTATTTAGAATTTTAGATTATAATTTATAAAAGTAAACTTAAAACATTATTATAACAAAACGTTGTTATTTTTTAGTGCAATTTTTAATATTTTTAGAGCAATTTTTGGTATTTTTTAGTGCAATACTGCAATCAATTTTACTATTTTTTTAGTACTACAACATCCGTGCCCTAGTAATGATATTTTATATGAAATTAATATTTTGAGCAAACTTCTCCAATCACCCTCGCTTGATCTATCAGAAACTACTAACCAATTAAACATCACAAAAAAGTTATTGGAAGATTATCGTTCTGAAGAAGGTTTTAAAAAAACATTAAAAACTGCAAAGGAAGTTGCTAAAAAAGTTGGAATTGATGACAAATTTGATAGTTTACAAAGATCGAGACGTAAGGCGATTTCCCGATCCAAAAATTCACTTCAAAGTTAATTTTTTTCATCAAGTTTTGGATACAGGTATTCAGTCAGTAATTGAAAGATTGGATAAGCTATCTAAGCATAACAGTTTATTTTCGTTCTTATATAACATATCAATAATTGAAGATGAAAATGGGTTGTTAAAACACTGCAAGGATCTACAACTTTCTCTCACTTCTAACGACGGTTTAAACACAGATATTAGTGCTGTAGAATTACATCAAGAAATTATCGCATTTAAAAGATGTTGAAGGACTGAAAAAAGTGATCCACGCAAGGTTTTGGAATACATATGTAAAAGGAAAATGGTGGAGCTTTTTCCTAACCTGGTCACAGCCCTTAAGATCTTACTGACATTACCTATAACTGCACCTAGTGCCGAAAGATCATTTTCAAAAATTGAAAATTATTAAAAACTATTTGCGGTCCCAAATATGTCAAATTCGTTTAGTTGGTCTGGCAGTTCTTTCTATTGAAAAGGATGTATCAAACAAATTGGACATGGAAGAAATAATAGAAGAGTTTGCAACATTAAAAGCCAGAAAAATAAAATTTATATAAATATAAAAAATGTTGGATTCTTTATTATACCATTTTAAATTTTTTTTAAGTTTAATGTATTTCAATTTCAACAAAAATGTGTACTATTTATATTTCTATAGTTGAATAAAAATATTTTTTTGTGAATTATAAATTATGACTATAGTCTATAACGTATAGGTATACTGCGACTTAAGCCCGAAGTAGACGTAAATATGTTTGAGGATATGGGGGGGGCAAGGGGTAAATAGAGGGATCAAAAATGAAAGGGCGGCAAATTTTGATTTTGCCTATGTATACATCTTGTCTAGAGCCGGCCCTGTCTATAGGTCTTCTTTTATTTTATGAAAAACATTGCATTGACCACGTCGTTGAAGCCCTCCGAAGTTGGTGTTGGTGTTGTCCCCACAAAAAGCAATTAGCTTATCCGATAGAATCTGCAATTGTCTTAAAGTGTCGATACAATATTTGGAGATAGTTTCCGACGTTTCATTTTTTAAAGAATCAAACTTCAATAGTTTATGTTGGATACCATATTGTTCAGTGAAATATTGAATAATCAAAGGAAACATTTTTTGAGCTTTGTGGTTGGACGCATCAGTGCCTATTCCGTAATATGAAACTTCTTGCAATTTTTTTTTTATTTCTGACACAGAATGTGGTGCGAGAATATTTTTAACAATTGCTGTAGCCTTCGTTCTGGCTGTGGATTATTTTGCTGCGATTTTAGAGTCGGAATACATCATGGCATTCAGTTTTACGATACAATCAAGTGAACTGAAAGACTGATGATGTTTTACAACTTTATAAGCTGCTGTTAGTTCTGCTGCCGTAATTAGCAACTCTTCTTGGGTATCTTGTTTAATCATAAATTTGGATATGGGCGATGACGTCGATACAACAGCGAATTTTTTTTTGTGGTTAGTCGTAGAAATGTGGTGCTTTACGTCAGCTTTACCTCTGTGAGTAACTGATAAAAAACAATTACATATAACACAAAGCGCTTCTTCATCCGTACGCCCTTTTTTTATAAAACTCCACTCTTTCGTATATTCATCCAAAAAATGGCACTTTCCCTTTTTCGCCGCAGACATTTTCGTAAACAAACGTGTTGATATTTAAAATTACGCACTTTCCGAAAAAGAATATCGTACCGTACGCCGTCAAGTAAATAAAGCGACTGACTGACAATATTATCGACTTATGCAGTTATGCCGTGTGCCCGTGTCCTACGTAATTTGTAAATACCATGAATCCGATAATCGCTGTACGGCCCGACCGATACGATTCTGAGAACGAACGAAAGTGTCCGACGTAAACAAGCGATACCTAACGATTGTTATATTATCGATATGACCGATTTAATTGGATTTTAATCGCATACGTTTAGTTGTACAAGAACATGAAACAAGTTGAAAAACAAAATTTTTTGTTTTCGATCATGTCATGCATATTTGTATGCAATAAAGCGAAATTTGCAATGCACAGTGTCAATCGGGACATTTTGGTCTTTTGTCGGGACGTCGGGACAGAGAGCTCAATATCGGTGATAGTCCCGATATATCGGGACGGATGGCAACCCTATGTTTGTCACTAATTGTTTCATTGTTTAAAATCCTATAATCTACTAGAAATCTGTATTCGCCTTTCTCTTTTTTCGGAATTAAAAATACTGGTGCCGCGTAATTACTTCGGCTTGGTTCGATAATGTCGGCTTTTATCATTTTATTGATTAATTTCTTCAATTTTTCTCTTTGAATTGGGGGTGTTCTGTATGGTGGCTGGAATATGGGTTTGTCGGATTTTAAGTTTATTTCGCAGGGCTCCACATTTGCACACCCTATGTTTAATGGGTCGGATGTAAATAAATGTTTAAACCTTTTTATCAATTCACATGCTTTTACGCGTTGATCATTATTTAGCTCCTTGGAAATGTTTATTATTGTGCCTTGATCGTCTTTTATTTCAGTTTCATTATTTTGATTTTTACACATAATGCTTCCAGTAGCAAAAATATTTATGTTATGACTTCTATTGTGTTCGTACCATATTTCGTCCATATTTATAGAATTGTTTTCGATTTTTATATTTTTATTTTTAAAATTGATTATTATGTTGTATTTGATATTAAAATCGTTTCCTAATAGTAGTTTACAACTTAGTCCTTCAATTACGTAAACTTTGATTTTATCTTTGAGTGTGTTGATTGTAATTGTTACTTCTGTTGTTCCTTTTTGTATTAGTTCATTATTATCTGCGCCTGTTATTTTTATTTGTTCTTTGGGTTTAATTTCTTGTTTATTTTTAACTAGGGAATAATCTATACATGATAGATTTGAGCCTGTGTCTATTATTGCTTTTTGTTCGTTGCCGTCTAGTTTTATTTTTATGGATAGCACTCTTTGTTTCCGGTCTGTGTCTGAATCTACGCTTGTATTTTGATTTTTGATTTTAATTTCGTCTTTGTGTTGAATTAGCTGATTTTTGGTTTTTATGGCTTTCTCGTCTTCTTGTATGGGCCGATTCCGATATTCTCTTATGTAGTTTCCGCATATTTCACAAAACATAACGTTTCCCCCCTCACTCCAATACTCTTCATTGTCATCGTGGTCGTCTAGTACGTCCTTGGTTGTGGACAAATATTCGCAGTCTTGGCAAAATTGTGAGTACCATATTGTTGATTTGTTAGTTTTAAAATAGTTGCCGGTTTTATTTTTTTCTATTGTGTTTTGTTGCGATAATTTTAAGCGATCGAAACATTCGTATACGAAATGGTCTACATTTTTTTCTACAGTATTAAAGTCGGGAAAAACTGTGTTTATTATTATGTTATTGAATTGACGTGGTTTATATATTTTTGTGATAATTCCTGGTGTCCAATTATAATCTTTTTCGAATATCCCTATACTTTTCCTATTTAATTTCCAGTATATTGTGACATTTGTATGTTCGGAGTCTTCGTGTATTAAATATAAGTTTAAATTAAATTATAAATTATAAATTAAAAGATAAATTCTAGATCGTCATTTTTAAAATAGTAGCCAGATTTGCAATTAGGAATGCCGAGCATATTTAATAGTTCTACCGTCTTTCTATATACCTATACCATGTTGTTTCAAGCATATTCGCAGTGCGTGGGCACCACAATCACCGTCTCCGGGTACGTCTTTCGTTTTTATGAATGAATCAGCTATTAGTGCGATTTCGTTCTTTAAACTATCACTGATCGTGTTATTAAAATTTTTACCTATCGTAATATTAGTAGTTTGGGAATCATTGTTTTTATAATATTTATTTTCATTGTCGTTCTCGGCAGTAGGCATATTAAAATTTTTATTTGCGTGTTTTGAAAAATAAACTTGATCATGGTAGAAATAACGTTCCAATCCTTTTTGTCTTGTCCAGTGCAAATTTTGGGTAATGCTAAGGTAGTAATATTATTTTCTATACAAAATTGCCTAGTATTAGTTAATGTGTTAAAAATGTTAGTGTATGCTGGTTTATCGTAATATTTATTTTTTGTTATGAGGTATAAAATCCATTGACTTCCGTTTTTCAAATAAGCAATTTCGGTCGGTTTTTTTTCTTGGTCTATTAAATGTTGAACGTTGTTAAATTTATTTCTAAATTGTAATGCGATCCCCTTCGACATGGTGAGGCATTGGCTTGTGCAATGGCCGATTGCGATATCATTTGGTAATGAAAAAATATTTTCCGTCTGTTCACTGTAATCGCATAGGAAGTCGGTTCTATCGTTATTGCTGAGTAGGAATTTTTGGAATTCATTTAATGGGTTCAAATTACTTATTGTTACGATGTTTTCTATAGATTTTTCGTCATCGTCGTTTATTTCATTAGTTATTAATTTATTTGAATTTGTTGATTTGTACCAATTTTCTACAAAATGTATATAATTATTTTTCTCAATCTGCTTCTCTTTGTTAAATTTTGAGGTGTCGGTTTTGGTATTAGTATTATATTTTGTTCCCCGAGTTAGATATTCCGATTTTTCTCTTAGCTCGGGTGCTATTCGTTTTTTGAAAAATTGCAATCGTTAGCATAGTGTCCTTTACCATTGCATTTGTAGCATGTTATTTTTTCTCTTCCGTTAAATCTCTCCGGCGTCGTGGATCTTGAATATCTTTCTCTGCTGTTTTCCCTACTATACTGTTTCCAATTTGTGTCTTTTTCACTATTTCTGTTGTTATAACTATTTTTATCTCTGGATCTGTCGTAGGAGTTTTCCCTATTTCTTGAGTCAGACCTATCTCTATTATTGCTCATTTCTCTACTGTTATTTCTATATTTTTTGTTATTGTATCTATCTCTACTAGTTTCTCTGAACTTATAGTTGTTGTACCTATCGGGATAAGGACTTTTTTCTCTATAATTGTTCCTGCCTTCGTGATCTGTTCTTTCTGGATATGGACTTTTGTCTCGCTTGCGTGATCTATTTTCAAAATTGACTGTCTTGTCGTATTTTTTAAAATTATGCATTTCTGTATATAGTTGTTCGATTTTGGTACACAGTTGGTCGATTTTGTTTTTATGATAACTGTCTATTCCTTCTAATTTTGTATTTAATCTTTTTATTTCTTGATTGCTGTCTTTAGTTTCATTATTTAGTTGCATTACTTGCTTATTTAAGATTTCTGTGTATTCGCTGAGACCTGAATTTCTTGAATTAATTCTAAATTGCATAAGTTCATATTTTTTCAAATTTTCTTTCAACTTTTTTAAAGTACTATTATCATGCAGTGAGATTGCATGTAATATGGCGTCCCTAATACCTTTTAGTATGTACACGCAAATTTCTTCCTCTTTCATATCTTTTTGTACTTGGCTACACAGGTATTCTATTTCCGTAACAAAACTAGAAATTGACTCTAAGTCGTTCTGTTTTCTGTTTTCTAATTTGTTTTTTAATATTATCGAGTATCCTATGGGTTGAAATTCGTTTATGAACTCGCTTTTCAGATTTTCCCATGACAAGTTACCTCCTTTGTTTTCCAAATTTTGTAGAAATATGTTTGCAATTTCTTTCAAAAATATTGATAAAAATTTAATTTTTTCGTTGTCGTCCCAATTGTTGATCTGTGCTGCTTTTTCATATTGTCTGATGAAAGTTTTGATGTCACCTTGTCCGGAAAAACTTTCTGGTTTGACTATCATTTTTTCCATTTTGTGTTTTGGATTTTTATTTTCCAATATATTTCATTTTTCATGTGTATTGTCTATTACGAATTTTGAGTTGCTAAACAAGGTGGTATTTAAATCTGAATTTTCTAGAATATTTTCGGTCTTATTCACAAATGAGCTTGTACTGGCATTAAGATTATCGTATAATTTTAAATTATCTTTTGATATTTCTGAAAAGCTGTCTGAAGTTAATTTATTATTTGTATTTGTGTCAGTTCTCGAATCGCTCGAATCGAATATTCCTGCTTCTTTTTCTAATTTTTTAAAATCGATTTTATTAGTTTTTGCTTTGATTAAAATTAAATCGCATTCTTCTTTGCTTAATGTGTTATCTATGTCGTCTAATGTTATGGTACCTTTTAAGTATCTACTAAGTCTAGCTCTTAAGAGGACGCCACACGGGCAAAAATACCGTACAAAAAGATGCCAATTTAGTTCCAATAATACGGCTTACTGAATGGTTTTAGAGCAAAATACCTTTATTAAAAGTTTTAGAGGAGAGTTATATCGGGTGCGTGACGAGACTCGATTTTTGATATTTTAATTTTTTATACCAATTATTCATAAGTAAAAAAGTGAAAATAACTGAAAACGATTTTATCGATTTTGAGAACGAAATATCAAAAATCGAGTCTCGACACGCACCCGATATAACTCTTATCTACAACTTTTAATAAAGGTATTTTGCTCTAAAACCATTCAGTAAGCCGTATTATTGGAACAAAATTGGCATGTTTTACAGAAAAAAAATGTAATTGCGGCCGTCATGTGCTGCTGTCGTTTCTAGCGGCAGCGTTTGTCCCCTCCTAGCTCGCATCCAGGCGCGCTCGCCGCCGGCAGGTCAAAACCGGTCTGTTATCGGCGGTCCGCGCTTCGCCCGTCGTTGCATTATTTT